GGGAGGGGAGGTAGGGCATCTAGGGCAGGCTTCAACATCAAGAACTGGTGGACCTAGTGAGGGGGAAAAGAAGACATTTTGGGGGGCTAGCAATCTGAATGTGTGCCAGTAACCTAACGCACATTCCTGTTAGCCTATAGTCTAGTCACTGCCACTTCCTTACTGATCTGATCTTGCAAGACCTGTTTACCTAAGTACTACTCCCATTTTATAGAGGCCATAAACCATGAGCAATCCACAACCCCCAGACAGGGTTATCAGTGCTGGCCGTTATCAGTGCTGGCGCCAGGCCAGGCCTTTAGGCTTGGTCTCACGGTCCCCATCCCAGCACCAACACACGGGGCTTTTTGCAAAGCCCGTGAAAGGTCCGGAAGTGTCATCCATATTTGGGGGACAAAGAAACCAAAAGGGTATAAAGGGAGAGCTTCCTCCATATTGGTTTGCTCAGGGTTTGGAGAGAAACCGTCTCCCCTGAGTCACTGTACCGGCACATGCGACACATCTGAAAATAAATGGGTTTTTCCTGTAACTCCGGTACTCCTGCGTATTCTTTGGTCGCCTGGTAAATTCTGTAGCACTAGGATTTCTTGATGCTTCCTGTGAGGGCACTAGTCTGGCAGGAGCAATTTTCTAACAATCATGATGATGCGAACCTGAGCATCTTTAGGGCAGGAGTGAACTGACCTGTGGCCACACTTCTCACCCCTTCCAGCCTCCAACTCAGGGAGTCAGTTCATTTCTGACCTGCTGGCTTTTGCAGCTGCTGGATTTTTTTTTTTACCTTTGAGGCACCTGCCATGCCAACTCCTGAGACCTCAGTTTGAGGGGTGAGATGAGAGAGGAGGCTCAGGGCCCTGGGGACCCCTAAGATGAGAGAGGAGGCTCAGGGCCCCCACGCAGCTCCAGCGGGAGGCTTGGTTGGCCCCTGGCTCGGACGCTCCCTGGTACTCACAGGCTCCAAACAGTTCCCAGGGCCTGCTGTGCGGAAAGCATCCCTGGCATTGCCCATAAACGCCGACAGCGCCCTCTGGCTTTGGTGACAACCACACATTTCAAATGCTCCCTGGAGGCGGGTGGTACCCCCCCAACTGAAAGCTACCGGGGCCCCTCTTTAGTCACTGGGGAAGTGACTCCGGCTCCCGCCAGTCTATTCCTGGCATGGAAACAGAGACACGGAAGCGGGAACCACGTGTCGCTTATTATATTAATGCCCCAGAGCGGGAGAGAGAGGCCATGCCAGGGGGGGTGGGCAGCGGGCAGGGGTGGGCAGGACAGAAAGTGTGGAGAGCTTCCCCGCCAGGAGTCCTGGGGAAGTCTCACTTAGCCTTTAATAAAGGGTGCCGAGAGGGAGAGGCTGTGGGATGAATCCAGGAGCCTGGCTGGGGAAAAACAGAAACACTGAGCTGGGCGCTGGGCGCTGGGCGCTGGGGGCGGAGGTGCGAGGATGGAGTAGGCATGGCCTCCGGGACCCAGCTGCCCATCCCATCAGCAGAGATCGCAGAGTTGAGAGTGAGAAGAGTACCCGCCCCTCTGGGCGGTTGGTGGTGGAGGTGGTGGTGGTGGTGGTGGTAGGTAGCCAGGCTCCTGCAGCCCCTCTATCCCCACATGGTTATCTGCAGCCACTGTGGGGAGAGAAGAAGCAGGTGTGAGGGTGGAGGTGGGGCAGGACAGCTGGGGAGAGCAGAGGGCAGGGGGAGCCAGGGGCAGGGGTACCGGAACATCCCTCCCATGTACCTGGTCCAGGTCCAAATGGATATGGCCAGTATTCTTGGGGTCCATAGTTAGAAAGTATGCTGTTTGGGGGAGGGGGCGAGGGGAGAGGGTTAGCAGAGTCAGTGGCTGTATCTGAGAAACCACTCCCAACCAGGGAGGGTGCAAGCAGCTGTCCCTGCCTACTCCCAGCCCAGCAGGGGATTCATGACAGCAGCTCATAGAGCCTTGCTCTGAGCCAGGCCCCGTTCTGAGTGATCTCCATACATACACCAACTCATCGGTACTCTCATCCTGTGAGGGCAGGCCATTATTACTCCCATTTTACAGGTAAGGCAATGGAGACACAGAGAGAAAGTGACTCGCTCAAGGCACAGAGCCAGCCAGAGGGGAAGCTGGGATTTGAACCCAGACTGGCTGTGCCCTGTAAGGGGCTGGGGCTTTGGAACAGCTTTCCGCATGTGAGTATGTGGGAGAAGGCCAGTGGTCCCACCTGGGGTGGGGGACGGAGGGGGAGCGGGCAGGTGCCTGACTCACTGAACATGGCCTTCAGCCTCAGGAAACAACTGACGAAGCTTTCAAAATCCATGAGCATGTCGTCATTTGCATACCTGGCCACCAGCACCTGCGTCACCTTGTTGTTCACCTTGATGCCTGGGAGAGAGAGGGGAGCAGAGGAGAGTCCGGTCCTCTGTCCACTGCCTCCCTCCTCCCGGCCCCAAAGCCCCCTCCGGGCCCCTGGCCACCTGCTTTCTCAATTGCCAAGCGCAACTCATAGGAGTTCAAGGTGCCCGAGTTGTCCTGGTCGCATTCTTGGAAGATGTCCTGAAAGGACCCCCAGATTAGGTGGGCTGTGCGCGCGGCATGGCGGTGGCAATAGTTACTTCGGTGTGGTTGGCTCACAGCTAGCTGCTACCCGGGACCCTCGGGGCTCCCTGCCCTGGCTCATCCCCTGAATGCCCACGATTCCTGTCTGCTGGTGACTGCGGGGTGGATTCCAGGTCTGGCAGGGGGCTTGGCACCCCGCCAGGGCTCTCTGCGTGTTTGACACCAACGCTTCGGCAGAGCCTGGCCTGTTGAGTGTGCATGTGTGTCCATGCATGAGCGTGTGTGCATGTGTGTGTCTAGTCAGAAGCTCCCGTTCTCACTTCATCATTACTAGTCCCCATCCCTCTTGAGGCCCTCCCTCTCTCACCCCCATGAGGTGCCCCCTCCATGCCCGTTACCGTCCATTTCTTGATTTTTCTCCACAGGATCTGGAACTCCGGAAGCCCTAGCTTGCCAGAGCCATCTTTCTGGGGGGTGGTCAAGGATATCTGAGAAGGGAGTTGCGGGGGCATCCTGGGGCCAGGGAAGCGGAGGGACTCAGGGGGTAGGGGAGGCATAAGACCAGGGGAGTCTTAATGGTAACTGTGGTAAGAGCCAGGAGAGCTGGCGTCATTTGCTACCCCAGAGCCTACTCCCCATCAGGAGGGAGGGCATGGCTGGCCAGAGAGGCGGCCACATGGGGACCAGGCTGAGGGGTAGGGGGACAGGGGCAGGAGAGCACTGGACAGGACCGCCCACTGGGCAGGAGGATACGTCCATGATGTTGATCATGCAGCGGCACACGTCCACGCCAAAGCCCTTGCTCTTGAAGTTTTTGACTGTGAAGGGGGAGGGCAGGAGGGGAAGGAGTGAGTGGGGGGTGTGGGGGCGCAGACAGTGGTCCAGGTGGGGCGGTGCCGTAGGGGAGTGGCCGGGAGTGGTGGGGCTGGAAGACTCACGTTTGGAGACCACCTTGTTAAGCAGCCTTTGGAGCGCGTAGGTGCCGATCTCCTTGTCCTAGGAAGGGGGACTGTCACCCCTGCGCAGCCCACGGAGCCCCGAGCCCCCGGCCCTCAGCCCTCACCTCTCCTGCCACTATCTCAAACAGACGCTTGAAGTCCGGGTCTATGTCACTCTCCGAGATGACCTCCTGGAGGAAGGGGGATGGGAAAGGAACCCAGTCCAGAAAGTTCCTTCACACCCGCCAGAGGCTTCCTCCGACCCCCCCACCCCAGAGCCCCCCTCATCTCTCTCTCTTTTTTAAAAAAAAAGATTTTTTTTATTGATTTCAGAGAAGAAGGGAAAGGGAGAGAGAGATAGAAGCATTCATGATAAGAGAGAATCATTGATTGGCTGCCTCCTGAACGCCCCCCACTGGGGGTCGAGCCTGAAACCCGGGCATGTGCCCTGACCAGGAATTGAGCCGTGACTTCCTGGTTCATAGGTCAATGCTCAACCGCTGAGCCACGCCGGCTGGGCCCCCCCCCCCACATCCTACCCCCCCTCACCTCTTGGAGTATCTCGGCACAGTTGGCTTCATCCAGTTCCCTGGGCAAGAGTGAAGGAAGCTCGGGGTTACCAGGGGTCAGGGAGACAGGGATGTCCGTGGGGGTGGGCGGTGGGAGGGCAGCAGCTCATACATCTGAAGCAATATGGAATGGGCGCATGGCAGCTGGGTTCTAGTCCTGCTTCTGCCACTAACTGGGGCTTCCCCTCCTGTGCCTCAGTCTCCCTGACTGTAAAACAGGGACAAGGTTGGGGGGACCAGATGACTGCTCCCTGAGCTTGAGATCTTACATCTCTCTCTCTCTCTCTCTTTTTTTTTAGTTAATCTTAAGGATATTTTTTCATTGATCTTTAGAAAGAGTAAAAGGGAGGGAGGGAAGGGGGGCAGAGAGAGAGAGAGAGAGACATCAATGTGAGAGAGACACATCAATTGATTGCCCCTCCCCACTCCCAGCCCTGACGGGGGCCAGGGATCAAACCCGCAACGCTTTGGTTCAGGAGCCAATGCCCTAACCATTGAGCAGCACCAGCCAGGGCAGCTATCTCACAGCTCTTGAGCAGGTGGCCTTGGAGCAGCAAGGCGGGGCCCTCACCAGGACTCGCTGTGCTTCTCCGTGAAGACCCGAAGCAGGAAGTCGGCGTCCTTGTGCTGCTCGAAGGTGGAGGGGATGATGATGTATTCCCCCGGGGGCAGCTGGAGGTGGCTGCTCACCTCCCGCGAGGTGGTGTAGATCTCTGAGAAGCCATGGTCCGGATACTTCAGGAAGAACTCCTTCTTCAAGTGAATATCCTGGGTGTCCTGCAACTATATGTGCCCTGGAGGTGGGTACAGGGCTGGCCTGGGGGCGCTGGGAGAGAGGGGCCTCCAAGGAGAAGCCTGGCTGGGCAGGGTTTCGGGGAGACATCCCCACCGACTGACCGGTCCTGGACACCACCCACCTGGTAGTGACCTCTTTTCTCCCTGGCTTCCACCCAGGGCCCGAGGGGGCTGGAATCCTAACCCAGTGGCCCCCAGAGCCCTTTGCCAAATTCCACCCTTGGCCCATCCACACGCGTCCTGGCCAGGATCAAGCCCACGTCTTCTGTACCTCCTCTGGCACCTGGGAAGAGAAGAGAGAGGAGGGTCAGGTCCCCAGGATGGTGAAGGGGCTCCAGCCTGTGGAAGCCATGTGAGAGGTGTGCACAGTGTGCAGGGTGTGTGTGTGCGCGCGTGCGCGCGCACTGGCAGGGGTGTGTTAAGGACACCGGGGACTGGGGATGGGGTGAGGCATGGCTCTGTTAAAAGTCCTAGCTTCGGCCAGCAGAGTACGCTTTACACAGTTTGCCAAGGGGAGGGTTTTACCACTGCAGGTTGAGGACAGAATACAGCCCCCAAGAGGTGAGGTGACGTGCCCAGTGCACACTGCTGAGACTTGGAAGAGCTGGGGTGAAAGTCTAGAGCAGCGGTTCTCAACCTTCCTCGTGCCGCGACCCTTTCATACAGTTCCTCATGTTGTGGTGACCCCCAATTTCATTGTTACAAATTGAACATAATTACAGCATAGTGATTAATCACAAAACAATATGTAATTATATATGTGTCTTAGGCGACCCCTGTGAAAGGGTCGTTCACCCCCAAAGGGGTCGCGACCCACAGGTTGAGAACCGCTGCTCTAGAGAGCATTTTCTTCACGTCGAGCAGCTCCCGCTGTCCTGCAGCAGGCCGGTGCGGCCATGACACTGAGCATGGCACCCCGATATGTTTGCGAAAAGGTGCGATAAACCAAGACAAACGGGCTGCTCTCCAGCAGGGATGGCCAGAACTTGGCTATGCTGGCGGTGGGCGGGGAACAGCCTTTCCCCTGGAGGACTGCCTCTGCCCTTGGAAATGCCTTGACTCCAGGTGTGTCTGTTAACCTGACAGACTCGGCCTAGAGGACCACCTGGCTTGTGTCCTGTTTTCGTCGCGGTTGAACCACTGGAGGCTGGACTGGGGCCTGGCCGACTCCGTGAGTGAGTGAACAAATAAACGGCCGTGTCTAAGATTTTGCAAAGCGTGGTTCGGGAGACACTTGTCAGGGATTTCTCTTGGTCACTGGAGTCAGTGCTCCTGCTGGGGCACCTGGGGGAGGCTTGGGGGGCTCGTGCCGACGTCTCCAAGTGTCTGGGAACCGGGACACAGGTTCTGCGGCTGCTGCGTGGAGGTGTGAGCTGGGGCAAGCGGCCTCACTCCTCTGGCCGTCATAGTTTCCTTCCTCTTCATAAAAGGCGCTACTATTCACAAGGGCCTTTGGAAGGATGCCTGGCACAGAGGAAGTGCTACCTAAGTGTTTTAGATAAAATAATCTGTCAGAAGGAAACAGCTGGCCCCGCCTCAAAACACAATGCACCAACTCCAGACAGAGGCAGGGCTGCGGAGCCTGTGGGGGAGGGGCCCCTCCCGGGTGAGGCCGGGGGAGGGAACAGAGTGGCTGGGGGCCCCGCCGGGTGCCCACCTTGTAGAGGACGAAGCCGATGGTGAGCAGCTGGGCCCCCTGGGGCCGCGCCTGCCGCCAGTTCTTCTGCATCAGGGCGACCAGGCAGGTGCAGATGACTTCGTCCTCCTCTAGGTCGTCGTCCTCCTTGAGGAGAGAGATCCTAAACTGGGGGTTGGTCCAGAATGTGTCTGTGGAGGAAGCAGGTCAGGATGGCTCTGCCCTTCCCAGGGTGCCCTGGCTTCCCAGCCACACGCCTGCCTCCTCAACAGGTCTGACGGGGCCCCTGGCCTCGTGGTGGACCCTGACCCCTGGGCCCCTGGGCCCCAGGCGGGGCTGTGCGGTGAGTCGGTGGCCCCTCCCGGGCCCCCTGCACCCACCGAGGTGGTTCCTGCAGCCGCCCGCCGTGCTGCCCCGCCGCCAGCTGCCCTCGTAGAAGGTGGTGTGCCAACAGCTCTTGTGGTCCCCCAGGAGCGCGTCGGGCATCAGGCTGCAGATCTCCAGGGAAGTGAAATTCCTCATGAAGTCTTGGTAGGACATCCTGTGGTGGAGGGGTGGATGCAAGAGCCCATCGTCGGCGCACCCACACCCGTGGGACCCCCCTTCCCAGGACCCCCACATCCACCACCCAGTGGGAGCGGGGGAGGAAGCGGGGGGCTCGGGGGAGGAAAAGCCCAACAGGCTGCACTGACCAGAACTCCCCGTCCTCCATCTTGTGCAGCAGCTGCTTCTGAGTGTCTGGGGACACCTCTTCCCACTCCTTGGCACTGGAGCGGAGACAGGCAGTGAGGGGGGCAGGAGGTACCTCCTTTTCTCCCGGACATGCCCTCACCCCTGAGTGCCTGCCTACTGGGGGTCCTGAGTTACATGGGGAATCTAGAGGGGAGGGGTGCACCTGGGTGCGCCACCCTCTGCCTCTGTGGCCTGGCCTTGCTCCTGGGCCTGCTGCTGGCTCTGCCCCTTACCGGAGAGCACTGGTCCAGGGCACCTACTTGTCACTCCAGGCTCCATTCCACTCCATTCGGCCCCAGGGATTCCGGATCCGAATGAGGGTTTCCACGTTGCCGCGGTAGGAGACCTGGGTGGGGGAGTGGGTCAAGGTCAGGGGCGTGGGGGCAGGAGGAAGTGGTCTCCTCACGTGCCCCCCAGGTAAGGCGCAGCGGTCGGACTCACATCCCGCAGGCCGGTCACTGAGTAGGCATGTCCTCTCACCAGCATCCTCTGGGTCACGGATTCCAGCTGGCTCTCGCTGGTGATCTGCGGCACAGAGAGGAAGGAAAGGGATTCAGGATCCGGGCAGAGGGATTGGGGGGCTGAAGACAGGGGTCCTTGAAGATTATACTTTGCATTTCCACAGAACTGAAGATGCACATGCAGCTGTAAGACAGAACTCAGAGAGATCTCGTGCGCTCGCAGCTAATTTCCCCTGCTTGGAACCTCTCACAGAGCCATTGCTCAATGTCAAGGCCAGGATGCTGGCGTGGATGCAGTTGACCACTTTTATACAGACGCCCTCGTTTTTACTAGTCCTCGTGTGTGCGTTCTAAAGAGTTGTACCACACGTGTAGTTTCGTGTATCCACCACCAGCTCGTCTTTACTAGTCCTCGTGTGTGCGTTCTAAAGAGTTGTACCACACGTGTAGTTTCGTGTATCCACCACCAGTCGTGATAGATCCGTCCCCCAAACACCTCTCTTGTTGTCCTCTATGACCTCTTCTTGCTATTCTCCTCCCTAACCTCTGACAACCACTAATCCAGTGGTTCTCAACCTTCCTCATGCCGCGACCCTTTAATACAGTTCCTCATGTGGTGGTGACCCCCAACCTTAAAATTATTTTTGTTGCTACTTCATAACTGTAATGTTGCGTCTTTACTAGTCCTCGTGTGTGCGTTCTAAAGAGTTGTACCACACGTGTAGTTTCGTGTATCCACCACCAGTCGTGATAGATCCGTCCCCCAAACACCTCTCTTGTCCTCTATGCTCTCCTCCCTAACCTCTGACAACCTCTAATCTGTTCTCCATTTTTCATTTGTTATTTCAAGACTGTCATATAAATAGAATCATACAGCATGGAACCTTTTGGGATTGTTTTTTTAAAATATATTTTTATTGATTTCAGAAAGAAAGAGAGAGATAGAAACATCAATGATGAGAAAGAATCATGGATTAGCCTGACTGGCGTAGCTCAGTGGTTGAGCGTCGACCTATGAACCAGGAGGTCACGGTTTGATTCCCGGTCAGGGCACATGCACAGGTTGCAGGCTCAATCCCCAGTGTGGGGCGTGGAGGAGGCAGCCAATCAATGATTCTCTCTCATCATTGATGTTTCTATCTTGCTCTCCCTCTCCCTTCCTCTCTGAAATCAATAAAAAAATATAAA